AGGAAGGCATAATGTATGGAGCAGGCATCGCCAATTGAGCGTAAGAAGGTTTTTTTTATAATTTTACTAACAATTGTCAACACAAAACTTTAAACGCGTTTTTCTCGAAACTACGTTTTTCGACCTTTGGACCACGATTTTGGGAGAACTATTTAACCGATCGGGCTGAAATTTTCAGGGGTTGTTCAGAATTTATGTAGTTTTAGCCCCTAGTGGAATTAGAATTTTTCGTTTACTTTTAACCCCTTTTTTAGGGGTAAAAAAGGGGTGAAAAAATTCTAAAGTCCGCCATTTTTTTTTTAATGCCCAAATCGTTTCATTCTACTACGGGATATAGCCACTAACATATATTTTAAGAATCTTTTTGGATTTTTTGTTTCAGACGATTAGAACTGGAGATTTCAGGATCCAAACTTTTTTTTCCACCTTCACTTCAGCCGCCATTTTGAAGCCGCGCATGCGTGAAATCGTTTAAAAAAATTTTTATACAATCTTGAATAAGTGACAAATAAAGTGTAAAAAGTTTAATTAAATTAATTGCATTTTACTACTGAAAAAAAATTCTTGAAAATATGCCGAATAAACCCATAAAGTGGCCTGAAGGTGCAAAAGTCTTCTCGGAAAAACATCCGGCCGAGATTCTTTCATCAGAGAAATAAAGATAAAGAAACAAGCGACGCTTCGCATCCGCATCAATATTCTCCGGAATCGGTACGAAAAAATTCGTACAGGTTATCGTTATAATTATCGGTCGAATTTTGTATTCAGTTTAATGTTTAACGTTTCACATTTATCTTAAATCACTTAGATCGATTGCGAACAATTCCGTATAATATGGAAATAATAAATTTTGTACTATCTATCATTACAGTTATTAATAAAATTATGTTTTTAGTTTAATTTTTAACGTATTTATTATATTGAAGAGGGTCAAATCTTGATCGAAACGTCTATCTATTGTTATGAATTGTGTTTAAATAATAATATATAACTTATTTACATCCTTAGTTGTGGCTGTATGCTCTTTATTATTTAACCTTTGTAAATTTCTTAGCCACTTTCTAATAATTTAAAAAAACTTTCAAATTCATTATTTCGTCCTACACCGTGAGACTAAATTTAA